ACTTTTTTAGGCCCGTACAAACGAACCTCGTCGCTAAAGCGAACAGAGCGTTGAAAATTCTCCTTACTTTTACTTTGATCTCACTTGTCTTCAAAAGCCACGCACTCTTTGTTTTTCTCAACAAAACATTGTCAGGGATTATTCCTTGGGGAACAAAAATGTGATATAGCTTCATTTTCAAAACATGCTTCTGTAAGTCGGGGACTTTGTTGAGAGCCTAGTTCAGTGCTGAGTTCTCGAACAGACTTTGGCGTTGTCACGACCGACGCGCGATGTGTTCCACATTAAAAATATCGCACTGTTTCGTAAATGCATGCTTATTATCCCCTTCTTTAATTCCTTTCTGACAAACATCCTCTCACCTTGAACTGTTCGTACCAACCCTTAAATTATTGGTCGTTCAGAAGGTGCACTAGATCTAGGTCTGGAGTCAGCTCTTACTCACCGCAAAACAGGCTTGAAGCTTCTTTTCGGACTAAATTAAGCGCATTTTCTTATACAGAAGGCTTTTTTTTTTTTTGGGGGGGGGGGGTTATTTCGAGACATGATTCTTGCAGTGCTGCTCGTTTGGCCAGTTTAAATTCAATCATAGTTTGTTGCGTCCGGATGAGCGAACGCGATTCCTCTCAAATTTGGCATGGACCCGTACAAAATTAATTAGAGAAGTTATTACATGAAATTATTACATGTATTTTTTTCGCGGCCATCGAGTCTGGTACAGCAGGTGTACCACAATCATAAACGTAAATCAGGATCAGTGGCCGACTGCAGATAGCGAAAACTTGTTTAGTACATCTACTGGTTGAGAGCTGCTTACATATTATTACCCGGGTGCATGGCTTTTTTTTTTACCTAAAAAATTAAGACATATATTTAGTCCAATTCTTCTCATTGCTTTGAACGTATAGTATATATATATATATACATGATCAGGATTAGAGGTTAATAACATTAGCAATATCATCAATTATAAGCAATATTGAATGTTATGATTTCAATGGTAACTTATCTCCAAATTTTGGTCACTCTATGGGAGGGGTTGGGAATGAAGGATTGTGTCCTGCCCCTCAGAACGGCCTAAGGAGTTCTAGTGCCAGATCTATGCACCAAAGGAAGAACCAAACTAACATAAGTTTAATCTACATATTCATCCTCAATATTTCATCATCATCATCATCATCATCATCATCATCATCATCATCATCATCATCATCATCATCATCATCATCATCAAAACCAACATAAGCACCATCACCATCATCATTAATGCAATCCCCAATGGTATTTTTTTAAAATTAAAAATCACGCTTTCTCTTTATCTAAATCTAAACAACCTAACAGTAACTACCATATTAACAATATTTGGCAGCACAACGGAACACAGGACCCCCAAAAAATATATATAAGTAAGTAGGCCAGATAATTCTCTTCCCGATCGTTCTTGGCTTGTATAATCCACAAATTGTCAAACAAACACAGGTACAACGATGTCAATTCTCGGGTGTCCGGTCTCTAGACGGAAGATATGCCCGACTGGCTGTCCTACCCTCGGAGACTGTCTTACCGTTTCCGTGGATTTCATTGAGTTTTCATTTGTGTCAAGTTTTAAGTGACATGTCTGGCGTGGGTATGTTACAAAGGGGGTATGGCGCCTGGTCACATAATCTCTTAACTTGAATTCAGTCCTTCCTTTCACCTTACACATACTGCAACCATTGTGTCCGCATGTAAATAATTCGTCCACTGTATTGTGTACGTAATTAACACATGTATCCTAAGGCATCTCGCTGCTCTAACCTTCTTGTCACTTCACAGTGACATGATGTGATACGCTGTTTTCGTTTGTTAACCCCTGCACTGTCTGATTGGTACAGAATTGGGATAGTTTTGATCCCACAGGAATGGCACTAGAGGTTTATAATACTCACAAAACTATTAGGCCACTGTACTAAACTTTCACTTTAACTTTAACAAGTTGTAGCACAAAAAGGATGATAAGGCAGGACACGATGTTGTCCTTTGGGGCGACTAATACGACATAAATTTAGTTGTTTGTAATCGGGGTAGTGAAGCTAAGAGGTTAAATTGTGACAACAGAAGTTGACGACATAACTATTATGTCAGGGGTCGAGTGGACATAAACATACACACCACACACACACACACACACACACACACACACACACACACACACACACACACACACACACACACACACACACACACACACACACACACACACATACACAAACACACAATCACCCCCCCCCCCCCGGGGGTAGTGCTATGGGCTGAAGTGTCTTTGGGCCAATGCCAAAAGGGGGACATTAACCATGGTCTTATGTAAAAGTAAAATTGTAGTTGTAAATGGGCTGATTCATCAATGCCATGCTCATAACTGTGCCTGAACTGCAACACGGAACATTCGCTTTTTCTTTCCTAATCCTTACTATCGTCATTTTCCCTCTACTTCTTTTGTATGTTTGTCACACTCTTGTGACCCGCTATTTCGGGGGTGTCTTGATAGTCGAAGCAGGCTTTGTGTTGTTGAAGCTAGAGAGGTGAGCAGAGTAATCCTGATTCCATGTAAGGACTTCTCTGTTGACATCCACCCCTTGGCGCTCATATGACCGTATGCACTTGAGAGCACCGTAAAACCTCTACTGAAACAACCACTTTTAGTTCAGTATTTGAAACGTTGCAACACGATTACACTGGAAGTAGGTACAAACTAAATGTTCAAACTAGTTGTATGCCAAATTTATCTGTTCCATTTGAAAGGCCTTTATCCACTGAGCATTTTGGTTAGAGACGGGCGGGAAGCGCTTTTTCCTTCCCGAGCGAGAAGATCGAGTAGCTGACCTATTTCTCGCCGAGACCGGTCCCGGGAACGAGAAATACTTCCCGTCTCGTGTCTCGAGTCTCGAGCAATGCTTCTCGTCTCGTGACCAATTTTTCTTCTCGCAACGCAGTTCGAGCCGCTCGTTCAGCGAGAAGGCCGGCCGTGGCCGAGATTTCTCTTCTCGCCCCACAGAACGAGCAACCCGTTTAGCGGGAAGGCCGGTCGTTGCGGGGATCTAAACTTAGAAACTAGGCTTGCCCTGGTGCGCAGGCGCAGGCGGTGAAGGAAGGTAGGGAGACGACCGAGGCCTAGGCCCTGATCAACTCCCCACTCGCCTCGTCTCGCCACCCTCTCCCCTCCCTTTCAGTTTCACACACATGACTGCACGGTGATGGGTGGCACTGTCTGCGTTGTCATTTCTCGCCTCTCACTCTCTCACTCTCGTTACTGTTACTCGTTATGTCAAGCCAACGAGCAGTATCACGTCTCGGTACCGAGCAGTAGTTTAGTGCTCGGGAAGCGACGGGGGGAAGGGCGTTACTCGCGAGAAACGGGACTCGGCTCGTCTCGTGCCCGCCCCTAATTTTGGGACCATTCTTTAACCTCCGTCATTTTTTTAAAAAATGGTAGTTGTTTAAAATATGATCAAATTTGTTAAAGTCAGTCAGTGGCTGCAACCCCATATTTGACAGATAATAAAAGAGTACCAAGTACACTAAACATCTCCGCATTAACAGAGTACAATCACTATAACAAATATATGGAGCTTAATTTTTTTCAAGACTGATATCATTACAAATCAGTATTTTATCACCTCAAACACGATGATCTGTCGTTATTTCGACAAAAACACCGAGCGTTGACCCAGCCGGCGCCGCACCGGCCCCCGTGGTGAGCGAGTCGGCTCTATACTGTAGTGTACCCCGCGTGCGGGGTCACATGCTTTCCAAGCTGGCGGAAGGATTGATGAAAAATAATTCCAAGTTAATTACTTTATTCTAATAGAAAATGAACTGATCTTTTAACTGATACATTTTAAGCCGGTATTTTACATATTTTGTGTAAAAAGTGATCTTTAAAACATTTTGACAGCATTTTTAAAAGCTTTCTATTTAAATGCCAAAGGCCAAATATATATCACGGGAAAGCTCTACAGTTCTCTGCCAATGAAAAGACGGTATTTAATCATCCCTCGTTCCGCGAAGCATTTGAATGCACGCGTGTCAATTTTTGAACCGGCCGACCACGCATTCCGACCGCGAGGGTCTTCGCTTTAGTCTGCGATTCTCCAGCTCCTAATAATCGGACATATAAACAACTTACACCATTGTAACGAGGTAAAGCTGAACTTTTACAAGGAGTACGCCATTTGGTGTTTTATAGCGAAAAAGCAAAGAAACAGTGATTGGAATTACCCCGATTTCACCGATACCACGCGGTCGGAAGGCCGCGAGTGCCCGCAAGGCCGTGTTTACGCTACCTACTGGGAGACAAAATT